AGAAGAACACTTACTGGTGCTTTGCTCAAAACCCATTTCCACCATTTGCCCTGTCTCTTACATGATTAATATTCTTGCAATTGCAATTGTACCTTTATACTGTACTTTTTTTTTTTTTTTTTTGATTTTTAAATGTGAAATATCTTGGCTCAGATTCTGCTTCAGAAAAAACAGAAGCAACATTGCAAAACTATAATTGCATGGTGATGGTAGAAGAGACTTTTAAAAGTATTTTACAGAATAAGAACCAGACAATAAAATACAGCTACATTCTATAGCCAGGCACAGCAAGTTTACTTTGATCAATTCTGTAAAAAGATTTATTCAGATTTTGATGGCTACCACAACAGGATGGTGACCCATCACAACCTGGAAATGTCACCAAGGATGTAAGGATGGAAGCTGGAAAAGGTTTGCAGTGCTGAATACAGACAGACACAGCAGCCATCGGATTTATCTGTTTACAGGAGTACTTAGAAGATGCTCAAGGTCAAACAAAAAACTCAAAAATATCACTAGGAACATATATGAATATTGTGATTAAAATGAGTGGTTCTCTCTTCAACACTGTCATTTTGCAAGTTTCCTGTGCTACCACTAAAGTGAAATTACAATTTCACATTAAAAATTAGCAATTTGATGCTAATCATATTTGCACTGCTCATTTCCATTCCAGGTATGAGCTAGGGACCTTGAAGTGAAATACCCAACATTTCCTATTTTTTTTTTTAGCCAAATAATTTACCACCTTAATTTATTAAAGAGTCTATCAAGACCACAATGCTCTTCAGCAAATCTCTCTCCTAGGAGCACACAGGGGCAGACTGCACCATCAGCAGCAAATCATACAAGATGCAAAGAGACAGATTGACCAGCATAACCTCTCACATTCAGGACGAAACCTTTCCAGTAGTGCTAAAGTTTGTCTTAAAACACTTGCAAACAAGGAAACACTTTTCACTTCCAGAGGGCAAAAGTTTTCCTTTCCAAAGTAAGGCATCATTACAGCCTCTTTGCTGCTTTTGGAAGCATGTAAAACTCTGCAAGACAGCAAGCATTTCTTCCACACCTTTAAATTGGGATGTTTCTATCTGACCCCAGATTTCTCTAAAATCTAACTTGGCAGGACACTGTCTGAATTCAACTGCAAACTGTGGTTGAGCATCACCTACATTTTAACTGAAAACGTGCACTGATGTATGGCCCACATTATCATTTTGTTGACATGACCATTGAGGAATGCAATGCAATGCAGAAGATGTAGGTCAAAGGTAGTCAAATAGCCTTCCTCATTCACAGCTTGTGAAAAATAAAACAAATATAGAACAACATAAATTTTATGAATTTCATATTCTATTCCCACTATATATTTTCCACATTTTATGGTTTTATTATCTTTAATGGGAATAGTCATAAAATAATGCAGTATTCAACCACAGAGCTTTGCAGTAATTATCACAGTCTATTATTGAAAATGTGTCCTGCATTTCAATGTGTATTATGGATTGTAGAGCTTGTCTCTGAGCATTTCACCAATAACTGCACCTGCCCTATGGTATCTGCCCTCTCCTCTGCTATCCTTCTGTAGCACTTGATCCTTCTTACTTCATCCTTCCCTCCCTCATAGGCCTTCACTTTATAATATTGTGTTCACAAATCTGGCCTTTTAACCAGACTAGTAATGTCATTTTCCATGTGATCGTACCAAGTGTAGGAGAACATAGTCCTGGCCAATATAAATGATAAATAACAACCCAATTTTTAAATTATCATGGAAGCCAATTTGAATTTCATATTTTCATGCATGGTAAAAAGGTAAAGAATTCAGCTGTGGTAAATTCCCATTAACATCAGCCCAGAGTAAGAAACAAATATGAGTACACTTAGCAGCAGATAACTGATAAGTATTCTATTTGTCAGAGAGATGAAATATTATTCTTAGAGTCCCTTGATATTTTTAGGATAGATTTTCTTAATGCACTGCTTCAAGCATAGAACACAGAAAAGAAGGTTGGTGGGGACAGTAAAGAAAAAAAGCAACATAAACAAAAGGGAGGATGCAAAGTGAACAATACATAAACCATGTTTGCAAAACCACTCCATAGCACACAGCATGAAACATTCATTTGGAAAATAAGGGCAAATATAAACTGAGTGCTAGAGTCTTTTAGCATGCTATAAGACTAAAACAGAAATACGAGGTAGTGGTTTCAGATCTACTTAAAAGAATCTGAGCTTGAATTCCATGTGCAAGATTTGAGGGACTGGGTGTACTTTGCCTTGGGTTTCTTTCTTCCTCTCAGAAAAGGGAGCCTTACATGGCCCGATATTATAGGACTCTATCAGTTAACATGTGAAGCACATTTGGCCTCCCACCTAAAAAAAAAAAAAAAACACAAAACAAAAAAAAAAAGTCTCTGTCTTCAGACAGGTAACAGGACTGAAGAGATTCATTGTTCATAGAAATAGTCTCTTTAAGGGATAGTTTTGAAAGGTTTTAAAGACATCCAGTAGAAGAAATGGCATGACTTTTTTTTAAAGTAAAATTAGTAATTACCACCATCATATATAATGAATTTGCTTTTCAGAGTGGGTAATTCATTCATTGAACGCAGGTTTTTTCTTTTTCTTATCTTTTTTTAGTTTTTCTCATTTAATAATTATAGCTGCTAGAGATTAAAAAAAGATTTTAATCTCTGATTCATTCTCCTTCAGGTTACCATTTCCCAGCTGAAGATTTATCTGGCAAAAATCACTGAAACTAACTGGAAATCACGAGTCTCATCAGAAAGAGTAAGTTGAAAAAAGCTGCAAATAGCATAAATCCTGCTGCTTTACACTTCTCTTGGAGAAATCCAAACAGAGTCTTCATGTCATAATCAAGATTGCTTATTTTCACATACCAACTTCTTAGTAAATCTTTCTTTTCAGCCACAAATGGGATTTGCTGTTTGCCCCACCTGGGTCCTCTTGTGAAAACAGGCTGTTTATTGTCCCTTAGACTTCCAAAGGGCTGAAATTTATCCCAGTCACTTTTTTTTCCTCAACCCATTCCAGACAGTTTCAGAAAAAATTACTTCTGAATATGGAGCATGGCCATTAATTCAGATAATAAATAACATACAGCCTTCATAATAAAGGCAAGAGCAATCTAATTTGTTTCAAAATCAGTGATTTGTTAGATAAAGAGCAAGGTTGTGTGTCCTACAATCCTCCAGAAGTCCTAACCCCAACGTGAATTTTCTCTTTCAAAAGTTGCTTTGTGGGTTGATATTTCTGCTGTTACTGACTGCTCAGATTATAATATGCTCTAGTGCATGTATTTCCAAAGCTAAAAATGCAGATTTAGAGGCAGTTAGTGTAGTAAGACTGTTTGCTGGCTCTTGAGGGCTTTCTATTGTTTTGCTAAAGGTTGAGATGTGTGAGAGATTTGCAAAGTTATACTGAGGCGCTACTGAGAGTCATGAAGACTACAGAAAAAGCACAGAAAACTCATACACAAAATTGTCTAGCTTTTGAATACTCCCCATACCTAAATATAAATAATACATTTATTTATATTCCATTTCAGCTATGGAAAGAACAGTTAGAATGGACTCCAGCAACATTTAAAAATAAGAGGATAAAATCTCTATGCAAAATGATAAAAAAAAATGCTTAGCTCTGCTAAGACAGGAAAAATGATCAAACATCTTTATGACCATTCTTTAGAAAGTTAAAACTTCCCAAATTAGACTCAGAACAAAAAAACACTGCTTTTTTCTCTCAAACTTACATTCAGGTTCAGGCTGTCAGGATGTGTCTTGCAGCTGAGTGATATCTTGTTATGAGCAGCTTTTCTTGGGCTATGCAGAGGCACACGTGAGAGCTGCAGAGAACAGCAGTACCCAATCTGCACTGGTCTGTAGGCAATAAACCCGAGCAAGCAGGATATCATAACAAAATCCAATTTTCCTTTCCTGAGAGCTTTAGCTTTATTTTTTGGAATCTGTCAGCCTAGGAAAGAGCAACATACAGCTTGTGAGCCACACTGCAGGGATTTTCTAAGATGTTGCTAAAGCCTTCATTCATTCACATGAGAAGGAGGAGTTGGTCATGTCCACAGGTACTGCTTGTGAGCATCCTCACCTGGTTTTCCTCTTCTACTCTGGATCAAGTTTGCATAACAATCCAGGCTGTTACCATCAATCTGGATTCATCCATGTCCCTAACAACTCACCCATGTGGGTTCACTCACGCAATCACTCACGCATTCACCCTAAACTGCTGTATTTCAGATTCAGTAGTTGCCACGAGAATAAGCAATGAACCATTCAGCAGGCTGCCGCAGAGCATCCTTTCGTGTCTCTCACCCTACCAATCTGTAGTCATAATCATGGAAGTGTCTTGGAAACCACGACACATCTGAAGGAATATGTGAGGCAGGAAAATCTTCTTAAAGTTACCACACCGCTTCTGACACTGACCTCATTAATGCCGCTATATCACATATCATTCTTACCGTGTCTTTAGATGGTTACATGCATTTCTTTGCTGAGTGTAAAACATAGACACGAGGAGAAAATAGCCCGTCGTTCTAGTTGTGATGAGGAATACAATAACCCATCACCATAGCAAACAGCATATTTTATTTGAAAAATACGAATAGAAGATTTTGTCCCTTTTGTTTATTAAAAGGAAATGTAACAATTTCTAACAGTAACACTTGCATAAGGAGGTATTTTTAACCTAATTTAATAGAATATTACATACTTTACATTACTCTCTCATTAAAAATATATATATTTTTGGAGACTTTGGAAAAATAAGGATGGCCCAATACTTGCAACACTGCTCCTAACGTTCCTTAAAATGCACTGTGCTATTTAGATGTACTGCAAGTACAAGCTTTATAATCCATAAAGTTACCCTAGGCATTACAATTTCGTATTCTCTTCTGTATTTAGAACATAACATTTATTATCCTTTGAGTGACACTAGGAGTTTGATTAACTGCAGACTGGTCCAACATTTAGATATTTCTAAATTGTACAAAGCCTAAGATCACAGAAATGTTGTAATTCCGTTTAAATGTCAATGAGGATATTTTCACAAATAATTTTTCTTATAGCATTTGCAACTTAAAAACAACTGCATGAAATAGAATTTGCAGATAAGAATGTTTACAGTTATTTTCATTTTCCAAAAAAAAAAAATCAAAAAATAAAGTGCATAACAGTGAAATTATGTTCAACATTTACATAGTTTTCTGTACGTATGTAATACCTGGCAATGCCAATAAACAACTTTTCAATGTATGGATCTTAATCTAATAGCACTGGAAGTCAAACTCTTCATTGATTTTTAGGGGTATCATGTTTTTTGATTTTTTTAGGCTCCCAATATACCTTTACTTTTCATTCTTAGACCATTTTCTCAGAGGACTTGTGTGCCCTTGCCATTGCAAAAAAAAAGGGGGCTTGTTTGAGATATTGTGAGCAATTCATTATGTGTAATCGTATTATTAGTTGCTGCTGGAGGAATAATACTGGAAATTAGAAAGCCCTTAAGCATCCCTTCTATGTGACATTTAACTTTATTCACCATCTTCTGGTTTAAGGAAAACTGGCAGTTTTCAGCATTTAGTTGGTAAGTGGCAACAGGATTACTATATAGGCTAAGAGAAAAATATTAGAGAATGTGAGCATACAAAAGACCCATGAAAACTTTTAGCAAAGTCCATACAGTCAGATTTAACCATAAACTAGAAACAATTTTCCCACAATACTTTCACTGAATGTACACTTTGTTTAAATCGACAGTGCAACAAAATGAATGTGGCTTCCATGAAACACAGTGCTAGTTATGTTCAATCAATGTTGACATAGAAATTCTTGAGAATACTTTAGATTTGTTTCTAGGACAAGAAGGAACAAAGGTAAATTTTGTAGGATCGGGGAGAGAAATCTGCAAACCTGTTGTTCTGCAATGTGAGGCCTTTTGCTGTGGCCCTGAAGATTCAAAATTCTGGTACTGGTCATGCAAACAACACGGCACTGTGATGCATAGTTGAGTAAGAGACAGTAAGCATAGCAAGCATGCAGATACCTATCGTGACAGAAAAGCACATCTGGCCTTCACGGTGGGTAGGACATACCAAACAGGACAGATCACAGCATGAGCAACGCGGGGTCTCGGCAATGACGCCGACTGCCCAGGGCCGTGTTGTGCTGGGCAGCAGGTAGCGGACGCGACATGTGAGGGATGGGGGATCCTTATTTCTATGAAATATGACCTCCCCTTCCCTCATTAACTTAATCAGAACATGAGCCTAAGAAGTGAGCATTTGCTTTGTCACTGCACTTTCCTTCTCCTGGCTGCTCTATGATGCAAACAAAAAGCAGAGAATGCCTGAAATACTGCTTGAAGCACAAAATACAGTTGATCTTGCTCACTTGGGTGTAGGAGTGGGGTGAGAGACATAAATATAACTAGTGTCTGGGTCTCCGAACAACAATATGACTGCAGCTTCATCATATGCAGTACAAAGTATTAGGGTCCACGGTATTTGAAATGTTGCAATTGTCAATATTCTCACCTCATCACTGTATTCATACTGCATAAAAATTGAGATGCTGGCGTAAAGCAAGTGCGATCTCAAGAAGAAGGAAATTTCTCCTCACAAAATTCTGCACTATTAGTTGCTTCATTTGGGCCAGAACACACTAATTCTACCCCAAAAAACATTCACATACATTCACCGTTCTCAGTTTGTGCGAAATTCTCACTGCATTAACAGACGCTTCTCTGTTAAACCTTTCTCTATAATGAGAATATTTCCTTAAATGCATTCCTAGGAAGATTTGTCTTTTTGGTAATTCAAACAAAGAGAGAATAGCACAGATTATTAAGATACCTTCACATCAGCAGAAGAACACTTTAGGATTTGGACGTTCATACCCTCTAAATCACCTTAATAAAAGGATGATGACAGAAAAGGAAACATTAACATTTTTAAATGTCGAAGTTCCCAAAGCTTGCAATTCTTTTGTTATTAAAGTTGTATATTATTTTGTGTTACATCAATGTTTTGCACAAATTCATTTGTTTCATTTGGAAAAAGAAAAAAAGAAACAATGAAAAAACTGTGGTACAAAAAACCTCTGCAAATACAGTGCAACAAATACTATTTTTAGATTTTGAAAAGTTTTCAAAGCTATCTGCTTCTTTTCAGCAAGCTCTATAAACCAAAAGGAATGAACAAAATCACAGAGAGTCCTTAAAAAATAAAAATCCTCAATGCATGATTCATTTTAAATGGGCTGATGAAACATTCTAGACATATCTTGCACGTGGTCCTGGTCCCTACCCGCTATAGTAGAGAAGGAAAGACTAAATAAAACTCTGGTTCACTTGTGTGGCCCACTATAGGTCAGATCCTGACTTGAGAAAGCAGCACTCCCTTCTTTTCTAAGCTAAAGGAAAGCACTGCCATAAACAAATAGGGAGGAATCTAGTGGATTAGACTTATCTGTTACTCCTCCACACCAGGCCAGAGAGTAAAAATAAAAAAAGCAGAGCATAGGTGTTAAGCAGCCTAAGGAACAAGTTCTGTGATGCTAAGTAATTACTGAACAGAACAAATTAATAGACACTCCAATACACTTGTAGACACTTCTACATTCGTTTTTTTCTCCCTCAATTGATATATAATACATTCCTGCCCCCATAAGGTTTGAAATAGGGAGGAAAAAAAAAAGATTGCTTAGAGAGAAATTATATCAGGAGGAAGTAATAGAACTAAATCAAATTAACTTAAAATTAAAAAGCAACATCACTTTCAATTCCATGTTGTTTCAATCATCTCTTTTCCTGTATCTCACCAGGAGCTCTATTTTGCTTTTAGTCACACATGGAAATAGAGACATTAGGATTATGAACTCTAGGTCATCAATTAACTGTGGTAGCTTCTGGATTCAAAGCAGCAAAAGACTTCAAAAGCATCATCTACTGACCTCAGTGAAGCACAGCGAGGCAAGCAACTGCATAGTTACATGGTGCTGCCATTGCTGTTCTTATAGAAAGGGCCTGTGCTTCATCTGCCTCGCTGCATAAAGGCCTCTTCAGACCCATGCCATTGAGATGAATGATATTCCCATGAAAGGACAAAAAGAAAAAAAACACACACTGGACACAGAGGTTCCTCCAGCACTCAGGAACGGAGCAGCTCTGGGGCTGTGCGATGGAGCCGTGTTTGCTCTGCACACAGCTACCTACGCCCTCGCTCCGATGGCTGGCTAAGGAGGAAATTATGAAGAATATAATGAAATGACATATTCTCAGTGCAACCTGCAAATTCAGTAAGACCAAACTGATGCAAATAAGGGCCTATATCAATAGACTGTTTATTTGAGAGGACATTTGTAATATATCCCTTCTGTAAAGGAACAGACTGCTTGGATTTCTCACACTGGTAGCGTGGCTACCGCATACTGCAATCAAACAAGGCCTAGAGAACAGCTAGAAATGCAATGTCAAAACCATTTGCAACAGATTTGCTCTTCCATGAGCTATTTTCCTAAACCGACATGACCAAAGACATACTGTAGTAGCTCTGAGATGCTAAGCATATTGCAAGGAAGATGTCATTGCTTGGCTTACTTTAGGTTTTGTTACGGTTACGGCACCACGGACTTTACTGAGCAATTAAAAAATATACACAAGGGACAATAGCTTATTTTTTCTGTATTTTTCAAAATTTGACTTTCTTCCAATTGAAGAACCCAGTTTCAAATATGAAAAGGGCACTTGTTTCTACAGTAACTGTGTACAACTTGCTCAGTTCCAAGTACTGTATTCATTTTCTGTTACTGGTGCTGTTCTTGTATCTCCAGCTGCTGAGGAACTTCTCTGTTCTTGGAATTACAACTAAGTTGTTCTTTCTGATTCTATTTCCCCATAGAGTTCAGCCAGCTTCTTAAACTCAGGCCCCCAGTCTCCAAGGTAATTATAATCCTGGTCGGAGTGTGTTGTGGCTGAATCTAGGGAGCTGATAGAGCCAGCTTCTGATCTATGACCCTCATAGGCATAAGTCTGCAGGGAGTCATATGGAGGCACGCTGGGGTCCAAATCTGCCTCTGCCAGTCTTTGCTTAATGAATTCCTGAACATCTATACTGTCCAGGCTTGAAGAGGGGTGATGCCTGGGTACGTGCTTCACTTCGGGCCGAATATCCCTGCGATATTTTAGCTCCTCAGCAGCTGAGGGGTTTCGCAGTGCTGTGATGTCAAATGCTTCAGTGTCTTCTTCTCCACCACCCTCATCATCGTACGTGACGACGTTCTCCCGGACGTCTTCTTCTGAAATGATCAAGGGCTCCTTCTTGCTGCGTCTTAGGGTGATGAAAAGGACCACAATTGCTAGAGAGAAAACTGCAGATATTAGATTAGGTTTAAAGCTTACGTTCGAAGTAAGCAGATACTTGCTACAAAAATAACAGATACCAAAAGATGAACTTAGAGGCGTAATACTTTTAGGCTAATTTGCTATTCTGGCATTATTATGCCGGCCTTGGACTGTAGTACCATTTGTTAGGATATGTCTGTAATATCAGATCCCCAAAGTTTTCAAACTTTGCAAGAGTCTAGCTATAGCTTTAAGTGAGCAATATCTTTGTTATGTAATTCATTATATGGAGACAGATTACTGCATGTCTGGAAAGCACCCCCAAAATCTAAACTGGCACATTTTGAGACAGTATCCTGCCAATATGGAACAAGTAGAGGCCACACAATTATGGGGAAAATTAGGAATGCTATAGTGAAGCTAGAAACTTCCAGTACAGCCTGATTTTAAAGGGGGTCAATAAAAATATTATTTCTTGTTTATGCTTGCTTTGTACGAACTGCTGAGGTTTCCAGAGCCAACAATGAAATCCACAAAGAAAAACTCATAAAGAATATAAAAGGGATAACGTGCATTCAGGTAAATGACAAGTTAAATGAGCAGGCTGAGATTTTTCAGAAACATTGTTAAGGGCTTTCAAAGGTCTACTAAAATCATTATTCACTGTATATCTGCAATGTTCATTTTTTTTGCTTATGATTGTGAATATTGTATGATAAAAGATAAATTATAAACTAAATATATTGCTGTTCATTTTAAAGAAACTTGTAAAAAGCACAGTTCTGAAGTAATCTGTGATGAAAGTAGCCTTTAGAAAACAAAAAGACTTCTAAAAAAAAATTCTGAATGCCCTAGTATGTGGGTTACAGTGCAAATCTATTATTTCTTGCCACCTTAATGCATAATTCTGCATTAAAATGCAGAAAGGCACATGAATAGTACTGGAATATGTTGCGGCAAGTCGCTGCTCTGACAAAAAGAATATTAATGGGCAACATTCAAATTGACCTGGGCAAAAGAAAAAAAAAATCAAGAGAAATGCAATTCCAAGGAAATTTATCTAATGGAGTCATCTTATTAGCTCATATGTGCCTTGCCCCCGGGGATTTTGGTGTGCATTGCTATCAGCTCACCCCAAAAAGGTAATTAAGAAATGGCTTTTGTATAGTGCTAATGGTACTTCTTATGGTGTAATGTATTTCAAAAAGCTTTCTTCACCTCCTTTCGATAATTTTTCAAACTCTTCTAGACATAGAATTCGAGCCAATGTTTTTTGAAATCTTTCCAAATTACCCAAGAAAGACCTGCAGTGCTAATTACTTGATAGCTTCTGAAAAATTATTTCGGGTGGATTCCAGATATCCATGAATCTACTTTAAAAGCATTTTTTCCCTGTGAGTTTTAGCTCAACCTTTTTCTTCCTCATCACAGCTATGTGTTTCTAATTACCTCCTACTGGCAGGCAGCCCTCTGGTGCAAAGATGTATCATATTCAGCATTTCTGCCCTGCCACATTCAGAGGGCTGGAGGAAGGATAGCGGCTCTTGGCACCGAAAATGGCTTACCCAGGAGAATGACAACGCAGAGCAGGATTGCAATTAGAGCTCCCGTGCTGAGGCCAGCAGAGGAGAGGAAAGCTTCAGCATGGCAAGTCCTTACACGCCCATCTTGTTCACAGGCACAGACCCTAATGGTGAGAGTGCTGCTGCTGCTCAGAGTGGGAGTCCCACCATCAGAAATCAGAACTGGGAGGTAATAGACATCTTGAGTGGTTCGACTGTATCTCCTCCGTCTTGTCAGGATACTGGCTGTGTTATCTGCAATATCAAAACCAGAATAGCATCGTCATAAGGTATTACTGACAGCTTGTTTCTCATGCAACAGAACCACCAGGCATTTTCAAAGGGTGCAGTTCTAATCTGTGAAAATGTACAATCTAGAATTGAAACCTGGGGGAAAGCCAATAGAGGCTTTGGCCAATGGAGGAAAACAGGAAGGCAGGTGAGAGTAGCTAACATTGTGTAAATAAGATCACTAAAGCTCATATAAATGTCTTAAGAGTCCAAATTTACTTTACTAAGCATTTTGGGCCAAGTTTGCAAATGTTTTAATCCCCTGGTGGGAGTGTATGGACACCTGTAAATGGGAACATGTGGAATTTCTCCACAAAAATAACTCTTTTCCATTCTTAGAAAAATGTTAAAATGTCTTTGCTAAATGTCAGAGCAAAACTTGATTCACTCTTTATGATAGGTTTCATAACTCAAGTGATCTTTCAGAGAATATCTGAAAGGACAGTTGGCAAAAACTCGCACTTTGGGAAGATCAGGATGAAGAAGGCATAGAAGGGAGAAAGAGTAGATATTAGAGGTTCTAAACTTGTGAAGGTTATGGAAAAGCAGGGTCAGGGGAGAGAAAGTGACATAAAGTTTTGTCACCTTTATGTCACCTACAGGTCCACCTGGCATATATTACAGACAATGAGAATCCTAATGTTTAATTCATGTACAGTGCCAGAGTATCCAGTGGCATTAATTTAAGACCAAGGCTGCACAACTATAAAAAATAAGCTGCCACTCATGCTCCTTCAAGACGTTCAGGGCAATAAAAAGAGTTCAGGGGAAGAAATGTTACAGTAATATAGAGATATATTGCATTGTCATATGCATAACACTTCTTTTCAGTTTCTTTCTACCACTATAAAAGTACTGGCACTTGTACAAGAGTCCTCAGATAACTCAAACAAAACTAGAAACACTGCGAGTAAGAGAAGTTGTTCAGAGAAGGAAACAAGCACTGGGAAATGGGAAGAGAGTTACTGGAAAAAAAAAAAAAAAGAGCTCTCCTCTCCTACTACTTTCACAGGCACAACAATCCCAAAGGTTCCCAAACTGCAGAGCTGCTGGTTTTGAATTTTTTAACAAACAACACAGGGGTGATAGGTTCATGAAAAGGGTGGATTTCTGCTGGATTCTGCTTCCCATTATATATGGAATACAAAACTTTTCCTTTTTACTTACAACTATAGCTGTAGCATTAAACGCTTTTCTCATAACCTACGAAAAAATGAGCCACATGTAGTCCACAGAACTACATGAAAATGGTGTGCAATACAGCAGGTAGTGTGGCATCTTCTAGTCCATTGGACTGACTACTGCCCATGTGTGTATAAGTGAACTTGCAAAGGAAGAGGGGTTAGCTTGTGTTCAACTGGATGCAAACCGTTTATTGGATGACAATTCTTTACACCTTATCTTCTGCCAAGCTCTGTGGCAGATTTTAAAGCATTTATTTTAACTCATTTCACTCTACATTTTGCTTTTACCTTTCACCTGAAAGTGGAACGGGGAAAAGCTTGTTTTTATAGCCCATCAGCACCACAACACAACACAGGTTTCACATGAGAGATTCACGTGAAGTGGGAAGCTTTACCCTTAACCAAGACCAGAAAGGAATCATGAGCTAAGCCAAGAAGTGAGCATGAGGTTCCACTGCATTCATGTTTTGTTAGACCTTAATCTATACTCTCCCTCCTTGGAAAACTCCAGTATGAGAGTTGGTTGGGGCTGCAATAAGTTTTGTTCTTTTCATTTCCAGTGGGAACAAGATAAGATTTTGTTCTGTACTTGGTCCCTGAAGCCCCTTTCTAGCTGCCTATGCTATCAATGTACATTCTTGAGGACACAAGCTGAATATTATGATAGCTCCCTCTTTAGAGGCATGACAACAGCAACTTAAAATTACATCTGTGTTAACTCATTCCATTTACAGAGCCTTACTAAAACCAAGATGACAGGAATAGATAATTCTACCTGAAATGATCTGACAAAAAACTAACATTCTTACCTTGTGAAAAGGATACTTGCATAGAGGTTATAAAGTATTTTCATGGAATACACTACTATCCTTGCCAAGCTGACAGATACTGTGTGCACACATGCTTCCACCCTTCTTCTCCCCATAAAAAATACAAGTGTGTTTTCAGTGATCCACAAAAGAGGTCCAGAGGAGACGTGATAATAACAAACACAGTAAATTTGTGTTTGCATTTGACACAAGAGTGTGGAAATGACTGCACAGTCTAAACTATATCAAATGCAAGAAATACTACTTTCATTCTTATAAAAATTCAGCTAAGCTTTAGCTCTTTTGCATATTTGTAAACATGGGCTTGTGAAAACTCATACAAATATACTGTGGTGTTCTCATTAATGCCAAGATTTTTCATTATCTTCTTGTCAAGAAATAAGGTAGTTCCACATTATTCTGCAATCAATTTATATAGCAAATTGTTTTGTGTCATAATTGTGCCACCTGGCTGAAAAAAATAAAGCTGGATTTCACTGAATTTCAGACTGAATTCTCTGTATAGGGAAAATTCATCTCTATAGCAGCATAAACAATGGCCGTAAGTCTTATGGCCAGAAACAGTCTATAATTATATATTGTGCTCACCTATCTCACTAGACTAGACTCTGTCAGAGGACTCAGGCAGAGTCCTAGACTCTGCCAGTTTAATTCTACAATATAAGGAAAATTCACAAGTCTGACTCAACAAGGTTTGGACCAGCTTATTCTCTGAGACCTTCATGACTCATAAATGCAGTACATGAACACTCTCAGTGGTTTATTTTAAATTACTCATAAGACAAGGAGATAATCTTAAGAAACATAGATTACAAGCAGGCAGATTGCCTTATGTTTTTTAAATTTTTCAGTACATATGTTCATTTAATCAGAAGTTAAATAAGTAGCTATTTTATCTTTCTGCTACTTTATGTTGCAGAAAATACTTTGCCCTTTTTTTCCCCAAAGCCCTGCCCATTTGCCACTGTCTCTACTTTTTTTATGCCAGACTGTCAGGTCCTAACTTCCTTACTATTGCTGGAGGACATGAATAACATCTTCAGTGGTTCATAAAGGCAAACCAGCAGAGATTACAAAACGAGTGTGAGTTGATCTGTCTGTCAGCTGCCAAAGTACTGGCAGACCGTGCCTGAGGTACAGCCAAAGATCAGAAATGAACTAACACCTCTGTTATTAGCATCTCATTTCAAATGAATATATTACTTTACATAAAACAAAGTTAATGCTTTCAGTTTATATCCAAGACGATGACTGCTGCTCTTCCCTTTCTAAGTTCAGAAAAAAAAAGTCATTGTCCCCTCTGCATTATGCATGAACAGCTCTGCTGATTTTCTAGTTGTTTAGCATCCAATTCATAATTAACAGAGCTCATCTCCATCATTTTCTCTCTTGTACTTGCAGACTGTTAAACACGACAAGACTAGAGAGTGAGTTTGAGCACGGGACCACTGCTAAATGTCAGCACCCAGCCTGGGATGGGGCTGCTGGAACTCTCTCAGATACTATGGGACCCCAGTCTGCGGAGGAACATAAACCAGGGACCCTTTCCAAAAAGCAGTATGGACAGGAGAGCACCAGCTTTGTCTCCTTCCCTTTTAAGTAGTGCTCCAACACTGTTCCAGCTGCCTGTGGGCCTTAAGCATCCCTACATGCCCCTGAGTCGCACTTCCTGAAGCATGCAGCCTGTTTCATGCCACGACAACACTGCTGCATTATTGCATAAACCTGGAACAGAAAACAACACAAAACAAAGCATAATAATGATATCTGAGGTCCACTGGGTACCACATGGGGCCCAGAGGAAATTAAAAGGCCAAGTGCTACGCAGTGTACGTGCAGGCAGTTCATGTTCCTTGGCCTCAGTGCTGAGAATAGGCCCAATCCTGTCCTTCTTTGTAGGCTGTTTTTCTGTTTTTGTTTTTTTTTCCTCAGCACTTACGTTGCCACAGAAAAATATAAAGTCTAACTATTATCAGTTACCCAGAAATCTCAGAGAGGTCATTAGAGAAGTGTAATGCTCCCACATGCCCTTTCTAGGCTGTGCATTTACCAACACAAAGAGAAAACAATTTCAAAGACGTGCAGTCCTAAGGAGAATTATATTTCATGTTACATATAAATGAGAAGATGACAATCATATAACAAAGTCATCTAGAAATATTACATTAAAAGTAAAGATATGTTCGAGGACTCGGCTTGAGATGTAATTTCTTATTGGTAACAAGCAATACCATATCCATAAGCTAAGCATTAATATGAACATCTGCCACATCTCTCATCCCAAAAGAATAAATTCTCAGATCTTACACAGCTAACTCCCAAAGGTAATAACTGTTATTACTGATAATAAGAACAGTCCTTTATTTCTGCTTAATATGTTTTGTTATTTATGTTGTTACATTTTCAATGAACTCCAAAGATTTCAGTTCAGCTACCTTATATCTATTTCTATAGATATAAATAAGAAAATCCCATAAAATTAAGTTCACATGAATGTTCCTGGGCCTATATCCAAGGAAGACCCAGTATTCAAATCTGAGCAGGAAAGCTTAACCTCCTCCATTCCTCCATTTGTGTCCCCTGACACAAATCGAACATGGAGTGAGTGGTCCAGTACTTCCAGCACAGTTACAGCAGCAGGGATGAAAATGCAGGCTGAAAAGAACATCATCCTAAACCTATTATACTGTGGAAAAACTGAGCAAGAAAGGTTTAAGTCACAGATGACTTTTGTAGCAACTGAGCAGTAATGAAAGGATTCAGGCACAAAACATTATTGGTAAAGCTGCCAAGGAACGAACACGGAGGGGTGAGCACTGGTATGCTGTAAGCATAATGGTGGACAGATGGGGAAAATATTATGAGGAAAAAGATCAAAAAGAAAAATAAAAAAGATCTGCTTGACAACACAGACTAAGTGGACAATTCTAAGGTTCCAGTGAAGAGATCT